CTAGTAGGAATCAGACGATTGACAAAGATGAGCAAACCTTTGCAGCTGCGCAGCCCCGCGTGCAATCGCCGCTTCCAGGTTTTCGATATGGCCGGCCTCGCACCCGGGCTTCGGTTTTTAAAGGCCTAAATCCGAAATCCCAAAACCACAAACCCTAAACCCTGAATAAACCCTAAACCCCTAAGCCTTGAACAATAAACCCCTGAAACCCTAAACCTCTTAGCCTCTAGACCCTGAACCCTTCCAAGAGCCCCAGAGAGCCCGACGTGTCGAGGGACCTTGCAGTTAGGTGATACGTTATATCTCCTAGAAAGCCCGGTATAAACCTATCAAAGCCCATCAGAAGGATGCTACCTAAACCATAAGTAATACCAGGGTTTCCCAATGTATAGCTCAACTATGCGGTATTGTAACAACAAATGAGATCAAATGAAAAAGGTAATGGAAATCGGACGGAAACTGAGTTTGTATACAGGATAACTGGGAAAAACGGACAACATTCAGCAATTGGCCTTAAGTGATTCTCTTACCGCCTTTCTGTTTTAAGGCATATTGGGCTTAGGATTCCTTAATTAGCGGTGTTGGGCTCCCTGGTTCCAGTTGGGCTACGGCATGCGCAGAAGGAAAGGCAAACAAACTTGCTGTACATCCAGGGTGTGGGTCTTGAATTCAAGGGTATGGGAGGGCTTAGGGTTTGAAGATTCACGACAAGAAGACTGCAAAGGTTGGGAACTTCGAATCTGGAAGAGTTTAAAACTACAGTCCTCATTAACTCCTCAAAGATAACCTTATTTTCGAATGTTCAGTCCTAGTAGGGAGACCCCAAAACAGGAAGGGAACACAAATGGTACTACTGGGGTAGCTGGATAACACTCATGGGGTGCTCATCTGCAGGCCTTTGCCAACTTGAGCCCTGGATGTCGCAGAGCTTTCCTAAACAGGTTGCACCTGTTTTTCATTTTCTTAGTGGTAGGGATAAGGGAATACCTTCTACATGAATGATATAGGGACTAAATTCCCTTGTCCCGACCTAAAATTAATTTCCAATATGTAAATGTTTTAAAGTTACCCTCCACCGGCATAACAAACATGTCACTGTCGTACCTGAATCCACGTACCTGAACACGAAGGCCCTTGCCACGGCTTCCCCTTTCTTTTTGAAAGAGCCCTAGGCCTCCCATATACATTTAATAGTGGCTTTTCCCAAAGTAATGGGTACTATGGTTGTCATTATGGGAGTATGTGGGAGGTCTAGAACATCCCTGAGGAGCGGCAGTTGAGATTTCGCCTCATCCTCGCCAGGCCCACCCGGAACCGCAGCAACGAGCAGGCGCCTGAGGACAATGCGGTTGCTTACGTTGCAAGTCTTAGACTCTAAGTTCCCTGAACCCCTGGTAGAAATTATATTTAACTGGTTACTAGGAATATAGATAACAGAAATACAAATGTATCTAAGGAGCTTCCAGTAGAGTTTCTTGTGGCTTCTGAGGTCTGGGGATTTTTGGTGGTGTGCATCAGGCTTTTGATTTCTGGTTTTTGATGGATTGGAGGTGTTGACGCAATGGGCTTTGCGTTTGTTACTGGGCCTGAGACGTTCTTGGAAGTCCCTGTCCCAGTCTCTCCCCACAATCATTCTGAAAATTGACGCAACTGTCTTGATTAACAGGCACTGAACCTTCAATGCTACTGTAAGGCGGCGGCACTCCAGGATTTGTTCCTGCAATGTACGTGCCAGCGCCTAAAGTGATGACAGGGGTCTTACTGCTGCCAGCAGATTGCCCAAGCAAACCAGCAGATGAGAAGCACCCCTTGGCAGCTCGAACCCCCTACGTCTCAGATGCCCAACTCACTACTCACTCATCCGCAACACTCACAGGTCGTCCTAACAGACAATCGCTGAGGGAAGGAGGCACTCACGGCCACCAAGCCCGGCCATAACAGAACTGGTGGGAACACAGGGGAAAATTCAAACGCGCAAGATATGCAACTCTGTCCCCAAAGCACGAGACGGCTCTTTTTGCAGGCAACAAGCCGTGGCGTCATGTCAGGGATGCCGATAACAAATTTAGGACATATCAGTGCTATGCACTGGCCTTCTGTTTGGCTACTATAATAAGGTTTTTTGGTGACTATAGTTCTAGCCTGAGGGGTTCCGATTATCAAACCCCTTATGAAACCTTATGAGGTAGCGCCGGATGATACTTCTCAACCAACGAATAAATCACGTCCCTGAGTTTTATACGAGACTCAGGCTCTAATGCCAGCACTACCCTCTCCTCAGGATTGGCAACGTTTTCAACTTTGTTCTCTGGGCAGGAAGCGCTTTGCTTCAGAGCCCCCAAGACCTTCGCTGAAGCCTGTTGCTGAGCCCCGCTATCTGCAAGCATATGTTCCAATGCTGTAGACCTCTTTTCCAAGGCTGCAAGCCTATTTTCCAAGGCTGCAACCCTATTATCCAATGCTGCACGCCTGTTTTCCGATGTTGCCAACTGCTTCCGAAAGCCATGTTTTTCCTGGTGCAAGTGCCACACCCAAAAACCCATGACCAGGCAGCACATCAGAACCAAAGATACCATGCGTCCAACAAATCCAGATGGGCAGAATGCTCTCGCACTGGTGGGTTGTGCAGGCACAACTTCTACTGCATCCTTTCTATCTTCGTTGCTGTGACCAGCTTCGTCTGGTTCCTCACGGGCTGGGCTCGATATAGCTACCTGGCGCCGCCGGCGGAGAGTCAATCGCAAAGCTCCTGCATACTTCTGCTCTGCCCATTTTTTGGTGATGTGATAAAGGTCGCAATCATTGTCGACACAATGACCTCTACCTTAGCTGCGTATTTTTCAACTCGCATCTTGTACCTCGTATTCCGTCATTTGGTTTCTTTGAAAACCATGAAAACCCACCAAGAACTGTCATACTCGCGATTTTACATTTCAGGGCCGCGTCATCGCACATCCCCCACCTGCTTTTTCAACAAATCGAACGAAAGAGGCACCCTGACTGTTGAGATGAAGGGGTCTTTTCATGAGCTCCTTCACTTTTAGGCCTCCGGCTGCCGGGCCAGCCGCAGACCCCCCAAACCCTAAAAAAATCCAACGCGTGTTTTCAAACAACAAACATGTGCACGTTGCGGCTATCGTACCGCTTGCCGCGATACACCTCCCAAGGCCACCGGGGGGGGAAAAAAAAAACAAGCTCCAACGCTCGTGCGTTCTCCAGCGATTCGGCTACACGTAGGCTGTGGTCACCACAAGCGCGGCCACGCCCCTTCCCCTAAAACATGTTCTTACAAGTACTGTATGGAGAAAGGAAGCGTGCATCTATGAAACACTCCATCATTCCTCACTACCTCGCAGTAAGCCTTAAGAAATCTCTTTCAGGGTGCGAAAGCTGTGGCGGTGTGTGGAAAGGGCTCTATGTTACGAAAGGACTCATGTCGACAAAGTACTGCTATTTGGAATCTCAACAAAAACAAGTATCAACTTTTGCCTACAGCTTTTTTCAATGCCCTGGCCTCCAGCTGTCGCAGCCTCGATTTGCACATCCTCGCACATGTCGACACGCGTCTGCAAGGCACGCCCGTTGTAGAGCTTGTTCAGCAAGCCGCGGATGGTGTCCTGTGGCTCTCGCAATTCCACGCATGGTACTTTGCCGCCTTCGGGGCGAACGAGGGTGTCCTCGCCCACAACCTCATAGCAGTATTTCATGCCTTCCTTACTCAAAACCCTTGCGAAGGCTTGATGTAAATAACGCCTGCGGAAACATATATGAGAGTGTGGTGTGCACTGTGACATCACTTCGTCGACGTAGAGATGGACGACTGGTTCCTCAAGCAGTTGCTCTTCATAAAAGGCTTACGTAGAATGAATGAGCCCCCGCTTCTCGTAGCAATTTTGAATGCCGAACTATACCGGGCCCACAGATAGGTTTTGCAAGGAACAAACAAGGAACAAATCAGCCCTGCGAATCCGTTGCCAGGGGCTTCCAGTGGGCATTAAGCAATCAAGCCGAATTTCACAAGTCTCGGGCTTGATGGTACCAGCTCTACCCCTTTGCTCAGCAGGGAATGAAAATGTGAAAAAGAAATCGCGGAAACGACTTTATGACAAAGGGTTATGTACTGACTGTCTGGAAGTGGCCGGGAAGAGCTCGTCAACATGTCTCGTGGCATGAATCCTATAGTCTTGAAACTCCTTGTGCGAAGACCATGTGTTTTTGCTTGGAGGTCTTCTTCCACTGATACTCAAAGCCTCCCTAAGGCCTGAACCCTAAATAGTAGTCTTCATTTTGATTTCCATTATCCCTACATAACCCCAATATAACCCCTATATAACCCCCATATAATCCCTATAACAAACTAAAATCCTGAGCTGAGAGTTGATGGGCCTTTGGGCCCGGGCGCCTCGAGGATTTCGGTCGAGAGGGTTTTGGAAACCGCCGCAGTGGCAGAAAAAGCTTGGAAATCTGCCGATTTTCCTCCGCAGATGTGGAATTGGGGGGCCTGGCTTTGAGTTTGGGCTGAGAAGCCAGCTTTGCATTCTGAGACACGCCTTACTTACCCTAAATGGCAATACCTGATTAGCCTACCCTCCGCATCTCTGTTACTCTTGGGGTAAAACATTGAAACAATGTGCACATAGCCGGCAGCCCGGTAGTCCCATCCAAGGTACTACTTAGCTTTCCCAGAAGTTTAGGCCACTAGAAATCATGAAGATCACCATGTTGCCCTTGGACCAGCAAAGACAGGGCGGCAGTACACAAGAACCATTAGACGGACCCCTGCCGCCACGCTGGCTACTCCGAACATCTGACCCTGCCTGGAGTATCATCCACCATCCTCCTTCACCATTTCCAGACTGGCATTGCGATGGGAATGAATGGCTCTCACTAGAGGCGGTTTCAACGCAAGAGCCCATACTCGCAACCACGAGCCCAAATTTTCTGAAAGGAAGCACCCGGCCCGTAGCAACGTTAGGGGGGGTTCTACAGCTCGTACGCTCCTCGTGGTCGCTGGGAATGAAGTCGTCTCCCTGCTGCATTGCCTCTTGTCAAAGCAGGCATGTGAGTCTGTTTAGGGTTCTCAATAGAAGTAGGTTGGCTCATGGCATGAAAATAGGCTTGGGATATACCTACAAGAATATAAGACAAAAGCCGAAAAAGGAAGAACATCCAGGATCAAGGTGAAGACTAATATTCCATGACCCTGTCAGTATCCTGAATTGGGTTAAAGGGCCCCTAATAATGTGTACTTCTATTGTACTGCAGGGTACCTGGAGGTCCAGAAAACCACTACATGATCCCAGTCTCCATGTCATTTTCCATGTTCTTTTGCATGTGATTTTCTATGTGATTTCCCATTATTCCTACATATCTCAATATACCCCTATATACAGGTTTCTATCCCCATATACCCTAAACACGAACTATAGTATTGCAATCTTGCACAGCTTGAACGGCCTCCAGGAAGCGGCTGAAGCGCTCAAAAGCTTCTGTCCCTTTCCTGGCAATCCGACTAGCTGCTTGGTAGACTGAAGTGCAAGAGCAAGCCGAAACCCTAAAGGCTAGAGTTTACCTAGACCCCCCAAGTACCCTAAAATGGGGTCTATGTAGCTTCTATTTGGGGATATTTAGGGTCTATAGAGGCTACTTGGGGGGTCTAGGTAGGGATTAAGGTTTAGACCCTAAACCTTAAACCCTAAACCCCAAACCCTAAGCCGCTTTTCTCTGGCTTTCTAGGGCCTTTGGGCTTGCCGGGAATCTAGGGCTTTGGACGCACACGATCTAACACCTTTCTCCAAAGTTTCATACACAAGGCATCCAGCTCCGTGAAAAGCACATGTTCAATGCAAACACACCGATTAAAACAATCATCTGCATGCTCTAGGCGGATCCTCCCAACCCTGGAAGAATGGTAAAAGGTATACAAACGCACCCTACTATAATCACCATTCTTCCTTATAGCTACTTTTGCTGGGTGGGGGGGTACCCTGAAACCTAATCCCTAGACCCCGAACCCTAAACCGTGAAACCTAAACTCTTCCCATCCTGAAGGTCGGAGGCCGATGCCCTTCATCGTGGCGGATCACCTCAGCTGCAAGCTGCAACGGGAGGCCCCCACCCCAGTAAAGAGGGTTGCTGTTAGGGAGTTTAAATTAAGTTACCATAATGGGTATACATATATAGGGTAGATAACAGAGTCACTCCAGTAACTAACTGGCCCTTGGTTAGCTGGGAATGAAGGAATGGACAAGAAAATGGAAACTACTGTAGTTGGTTACAGTATATTAGTATATAAGAACTACTATGAGGACCCAGTAAAGGGGGTTGTTGTTAAGGAACTTGAATTAAGATACCATAATGGATATATATAGCAAATAATAGGGTTTCCGCAATATAGTAGCTTTGATCAAGTTCCTTAACAGCAACCCAGTAAAGGGGGCGAGAGGTGAACAAAAACGCAAGTGCGTTGAAAGTGAGTGATGCACCTCGCTCACATGACTCATGACGACTGCACCGATGCATACTTGGTGGCAAACCTTACCTAAGCTTGAAGCGAGGTTTCGACATGCCCCAACAAGTCAAGCGTGCTAGCATCCGAACGTTGATAACCACTAGTTTGGGCATGGTCTACATGAAGGGGTAAACAATGGTGTATTCTCCTGTGCCGCAAGTACCCTAACATACTGCTGCAAAAGGGTTAGAACTGCAGCATGCTGGCAAGTCAGGATCTGTTTCGCAAAACGGCAATGCCATCCGGCATTCAACATCCGAGTTGCTTCCCGAAAGTCCCTGTGGAAGAAGAGCGGGAGCTCTTCGTACTCCTGTGCATCAAGGCTGTTGTGATAAGGTCGTTTAGGCAAGGGCCACAGACTTTGTCGAACAAAAAGCCTGTTAAATCTCCCTTGCCATAGGTCATGTGGCTCCAACCCTGGGGCTCAAAATAATTCGATACTTTGGGCCCTACCTGGACCCCAAAAGTAGGTAAATTAATGGCCTTTATGGCTATTATTATGGGGTTAGGGCTATTATTTTACATATTTTGGGGGTTTAGGTAGAGTCTATAAATCTGAATTCCTTGGAGCTGTTTGTAGCCCTGGCCCCCCAAAAAACAAAGAACAGCGGCCTGAAATGGATGGTTCGGGTCGCTATCGCACCAACCTCACGTCTCATCATTCAAGGAAACTACCACCGCAGAATGCTGCTATCCAAAGCACACGCTCTATTGCTCCAACTAGCATTAAGTAGATAGTATCTATAGACTTTAGGGTCCAAAGTATGGAATATTTGTAGACTTGGAGCTTTATAGGGCAATACAAGCTGCAACCGACAACACCTGCAGCAGCAAGATGGTACGATCAGCCACCTCCATGTGCTCGTGCACCAAGCACACAGCAGTACTGGGATATACTGTTGATGGATGAAACCCTACACCACCTTAAGTCCCTAAAGTCCTAGGAATTACAGTAGTTTGGGGCTCTAAGTGGTGCAAGATTTCCTCCATCAACAGTATTACGGGGCTTCTACAATTGAAATCTGTCCTCTGGCTTTGTAGGGAACATCTAGGGGTTGTGGTCCATAATCAGTAGAAGTTATTTCCAGGAACATCCCCAAGAATGACAAGCCAAACATTCATTTCAAAAAGCTGAACTCGGCAAGCCCCTGTTTAGTTTGGGGAATTAGATTTTAGGGTTCCATAGTACATACAATTCTCCATCCCAAGCACTGTAGCAATTCCCATTTCCTTTTCCATCCCTTCCTTCCCTGCATACTCACATCCAGCAAGAAGATACCTGATGTAACCTGCTATAAACCTTTAAGGGGACCCATATAACCCTACCGAATCCCATGTAATTCTAACCTATATAACAGTATACAAATCCTCTAAGGGGACGCATATAACCCAGTATGAGCTATAATCTAAACTGCAAGTATCCCCCTTAATCACCCCTATAATACTCCCCTACATAATTCACTGTAAAAACCCCTTAAGACTATAGCTCATATAACAATATACAAGTCTTATTGATATAATCCTAGACCGCTGGGTTGGCCCCTGAAACCTTTGAAAAAAAATAGTATATATGCTCCCGTATTAAAGCTTTTAGGGAATATAGTAAATATCCCAGGGGCCTACCCAGAATAGGACCCATACTGATACAATCCTAGACCCATGATACCCTAAACCCTAATCCCTAAACCCTAAACCGTATCTCAATGATATGCGAAAAGCTCAGCAGTGCCGGCAGCCGCATCGGTGCTTTCGGCCGGCAAGTGCCAAGGGGCGCCAGATGTTTTGGGGCCTCGGAGACAAAGCCCAGACGGGCTTTTTCTAAGTAAAGGGTTTTAGGGTTAAGGGTTTAGGGATTAGGGCTTAGGATTTTGGGCTCAGGGTTTAGGCTTTAGGGATTGAGGCTTAAGATTTTGTATGTGGAGGGCCTAGGCCTTTGGGTTTAGGGAGATTCCCCCCCAATGATGAAGTATGACATTGAAAAGAAGCTGGACAATGAAACGGAAACGGTGACTATACACGGGAGTCTACAGGTATTAGACCCCTAAACCCTCAACCCTAAGGGGCTATACCAAGCTGCGAGCAGTTGGCTGGACGGTCCAGGGTATCCATACCTCCCGATCACCTATAAGCGTAGCCATTATACCGATTATACCTATTGTTTTAGGTAAATTGACATTCCCTGGGGCTCCAAGTTTATGGGCCCTCAAATCCCCAAAGCCGGTAAATGCTACCGACTCTGGGCTATTTAGAGCCCTAGGGATAACTATGGGCAGATGGGATGTCTAGGTAAGGCAATGCTACTGCCGATACACACGCAGACGTTTCTCCGTCAAGCCCTGAACTGCCCCTTTAGGATGTTGGAGCGAGCGCTGACAACTCGTGGTGATGTTCGAGCTTCCACGTTTGCGGGGCATCCGATACAGCAGGCATGGGCCACAACAACGTTAAGTGCACTGGGGGCTGCAAGGGGACCATTTCTGTTGACATGCTTAGTTGGCAGCTCGCTAGACCCTCAACACTCCAAATCAACACATCAACACAGTCTTCGTAGGCTTCAGCAATTGCTGATAAGGTCCCGACCGTGGATGTGAAAAGGATGAGAAAGCGAAATGCCTCAGCTTCCAAGAATCAGCAGCAAGTCAAATGCCACAAGCCGTACGTCTGTGCTGCAGAGCGTTTAAAGATTCTCAAGCAGCCGATCCCGCAAACCCTCTAAACATGACTACTTTCACCCGAGATCCTCCTGGTACCCTAATTGGGCCTCCAATAGTGGCTACTGTAAACCCATGATTAATAAACCCCCTCCTTTTCAGGGCATAGAGGTGGGGTCTCTGGCTTGTTAAGGGGTTATAATCGATTAACTGATTCCAGGGTCCTACAAAGTAAGCCCTAACCCCTAAACCCAAACACTCACCTCGGCAGGCGCAGACATATACTGGTCCCCAGTGTTTTGGAACTACACCAAGCCGGCTCCAAGACCCCAACTTCGCGCATATGAACCATTGTCTATGATTTCTATTATCCCCCTTGATAAGCCTTTTAATAGTCCCCTATATAATAATCCCCTATATAAGCCCCTTGAAGGAGTTTAGACTCTAGTACATATGTTGTCTAGGGTTTATGGTCTAGGGGCTCTGCACAACACATGATTTCAGCGCATGTTGTCTATAATATGCCAGAGTATAGCAGGTTGTTGCACGTGTTAGCAGACATTCTGTTTACACGTGTTCGTCTTTTTTCGACTGTATTACGGTATGCTATGATATGTTATAGTCCACCTTAAGCAGATAGAATATGGCCTTGGGGTATGTTATAATAAGATCCCCATATACTCCATGTTCTATCTACTTGAGCGGGACCATATGCGCGGACCATTGGCTCTAGGAGTTGTTGACAAGCGACCCCGGACAGCGAATCGTCACCCGCGTTCGCACGTGCTGCCACCTGCAGGAAACAGTAAAAAGGGCTGACAGAAATGGGCTGAATATACTAGCACAGGGTGTTATATATGCATATATACACATATTTATACGAATATAAACCTATATATGTATACATACAAGAATATATATATATATATACACATATATAGCTATCTGAAAGGTTTGTGCACACACAAGCGCGAAGCTCCCAAACGTCAACAGCCATCAAGGTCAAACTTCCTAGCGTTATCACGGCAGACCGAAGGACTTTGTACTTCTTGCTGTTATTACTATTATTACTATTAGCACTACTATTACAATGATTACTATTAATATTTTACTGTTATTACTATTTCATGCGCCTGGGCGATGAATTCGCCTCCCTGATCAAAGCCAACCACACCATCGAAAGGCCCATTCCTAGGGCGTTCAGACAGGTTACAGAGTCAAGGATGTCTCCCTCAATATGGTAGTTTCCCAAAATGAAGAAACCCCAGTATAGACCCCAAAGGGGCGTTCAGACAGTTTATACATGCTATTTCGTGTCTTGTTCGTGACAAGGCTCTACATGTTCAAGCAAACATCAGGTGGTCTCTCATCACTTGCCTGGGTAGTGTACACTGTTGTTTGTGATAGTTCCGTGGGGTCATACTACAATACAGTTTTAACATAGTTGCTACTCTTTCCCAAACGAACATGGAAATCCGTATAGCCCCCTTTGGGAAACGACTGTAGCCTTCATAGGGCCCTTTGTGGGTTGCCATATGAAAGATCATGAATGGACATGGGTTCCATCTTAGCGACTAAAATAGGACTATCCTAAACTACAAGAAGGGGCCCCTAGGTCCACCATTAACGGTCCCTTAACAAGCCATATTGACAGTAGCTCATGTCCGTTCTCGGGGGGGTAAGGCCCTAAACCCTGAAACCTACGCCTTAAACCCCCTAAACCCTAAACCCTAAACCCTCAACCCTAAACCCTAAACCCTCAACCCTAAGGGATTGGGATGAAAGGGGAAGGCTCTTCGGCTACAGGACTGCGAGGCAAATGAGCCTCTTGTTCAGTGTTTAGGGCTCCGGGATTTAGGATGTAGAGCTTTAGGGTTTAGGGTTTAGGGTCTAAGGGGCTGAAGCATTCACCGTGAATTTTGCCCTGGCAATTCCTAACCTCATGCTGACACAGGGGGGGTTCCATGCTCCCTTTAACGAGGGGCCCTATTTTTGCCAGCGTTTACTGTGTGGAGGCAAGTTGCTCTTCTAGGAAGTCCTTGAACTTGGACAGTGTCTCATCGAATCCTGCAGCGGGACGGGTTTAGGGCTTTCTACTTTGACTTCTTTGTGGGGAGCAGCGTTTAGGATCTTAGGTTCAGGGTTTAGGGTTCAGGGCTTAGGGTTTACAGTGCTTAATGCTTTATAGCAGGGTTTTCAGTCTTACAGGGTCTAGGGCTTACCTTGGAGGACCCTGAACTTGAGTGATGTCCTATGTGCCCTTTGTGAATAGGTCAACGTCATAACCCTGTTGTAGAAGCTTTGTGAGTAAGTTATTACCTAGACCTTGATAACAAACTGAAAACCTTAAACTCCAAACCCTTACATCCTAAACCGCTATACACCTAAACGCTGCACCCTAAACCCCTAGACCCTAAACTCCAGAGGTTCTCCAAGTAGGGCCTTCACTTCGACGTCAAGCGCTGATCTTGGTGTGACTTTTCAGATTCATACCCTGGAGTTTCTAATGCGTTAAGGAACCTACTTGTGAGACCCTGCTCCTTCCCCAAAAGGCTCTTTTGAAGTTACTCTTGACTTTCGATGGTGCCTGAGGTGCACATACATATACAAAAGCAGTCGCAGGGAATCAGATTGTTGGAAATTTCGGTGTGGGGTTCCATTGCGGAAAGCTACTCAAACGGACCCATGGTTCTAACGCGCACGTCGCAAAGTGGGAGGTATCTCGTTAGTTATGGTCACCGCAGCCCCGGAAGGGAATGGATGAAGGGCTCTCATGTTCGTTGACGACAGGAAGGCGTTCAAGCAGACCATGGTCTCATGATCCACGAGAAGATGGCGGGGGCACTGGAGACCGAAGTCCTTCACAGAAAGGGAATGACATAGGTGATCTTCTCCTAAACCCCCTATATATTCCCGTCTCATTTTTCTCAGGATGTTTCAATTTAATTCTCCTTTTGTCTAACTCTTTAGACTCCTAAAGCATAAGCCCCCTACGTAACCCTGTAGCCCATACTCAGGTAAAGTAAAGTGAGTCCTATGTTTGAGGGACTGGGGTTTAGCCTTTAGGTTTAGGGTTTGGGCTTAGAGTTAGGGTACCCTATGCACCCCCATATTCCCAAAGCCCGATGTCCTTCCCAAGTCTCGTACTGGCAATTGTTGAAGGGGAGGCGCTCGAAGTAGGCCTCAGATTCAGAGGGCTCAAAAAGGTTTAGGGTTTAGGGTNNGGGTTTGGGGTTTAGGGTGGGGTATAAGGAAGGAGCCCCACACAATGGACGATTTTTCAGGAGATGGATGGGCTCCTGGCAGGCTTCAGAAGCACTGGGACGCCTCAGCGTAAGGAATATCATCCAGGGGCTATGCAGGCATACGTAGGCATTACAGGAAAAGGTTTGACCTCACTGAATTTCGCATAATCCCTATGACCCCAGGTACTCCCCCCAAAACGGGCCATTTAAATCGCGTCATCCGCCCTTGTAGGTTATGAGCAGATATGGGTTCACGCCGAAACTGCGAGGGCCTCAGTCTGATGCGTCTCGTCTTCCTGAGGTCTTGAACTCAGTGTTGTTGAGCTATGGATTGTTGTAAACTCAGAGTGTCTCTCTCAAGATTTCTGAGACAAAAGGTTGAGGTAAATGAACTACCGGCATGGGCACTCAATGCAGGCGTTTGGTTCTTGTTTGTGGTCTGTCCTACTCTCAGCACATGCTTCCCCACTGGCAACGAACCTGGCGACCTTGAACTGAAAGCTACAGCATCCACAGAGCCAACCCAAATCGTCATATGGGTGGTTGTCAAAAT